TAAGGCAAACAGAGGTTAAGTGTCACACCAGAGTCACACAGCTAGTGTCTGAGGTGGGATTTGAGCTCAGTAAGATGAGTCTTTATAACTCCAGGCCTGGCAGTCTTTCCAATACGCCTCCTAGCTGCCTTTAGTATAACTGTTACTTAATTGCAGTTTTTGATTAACCAGTATTCTCAATTTTCCCTGACATGCTGAATAACAAAGCTTTTTACCACATTAGGGATGTTTAATCATCATCATTAACAATAATAATAATCATTAATACTTTTCATGTTTTTCATGCCTCCCTCCATGTTTTCTTCCTTTAATTCCTAACACTAATTTTAATCTTCAGATATCTTAAAAATAAGAGCCCTTAAAAAACTGTGGTTCTGTTTAATTAAAAACTGTTTACTGACAATCCCTACTCTGGAAAATACTGCAGCTGCTGCTGACCAAAGCTATTAGTCTCCCTAAGGAAAAAGTTACTCTTGCAGCTTTAGTGATTAGAAGAGTTACTCTATTAGTGTAAATATTTCATAGTCCTTTCTTCATTTTAGTAGCAAAAAAAAAATGTGTCAGAAAAGGGGAAAGTTATAAAAGTAAACATATTCCTAAATGTTCTAGTTGTTGACACTTATATTTAAAATATATATCCTAATACTAAAAAAGAAAAATCAGTTTATCAGCATGACTTTATTAAATGTTTTGTGCCAGGCTCTAGGGATATAAATATAAATCTAAGACAGTGTTTGCCCTCAAGAAGCTTGCATTCTAATAGGGGCATGCAAACATATATAAGGAAGTATTATCCCATGATTAAGAAATATTATCCAGAGAAGAGAATTTTGGTCTAGGCAGTCAGATATTATGAGTGAAGCCATATAGCCACAGAATGCCATATCCTTTGCAGTAGCAGTAGAAATATTGAGTTGATTATTCCTGTAACTAAGCAAAAGGGGTAAGGTGGGAAATAGGTCAGGGCAGAAAAGTATAGATGGAAAAATGTCCCTATTGAATGGATGCCTGACTGGCATATGACGCATTCTGGGACCAGTGAGATAGAGAGGGATGAGCTGTTTTCTTACTTGTTTGCCAACCAATCAAGATAGCTCCCTTTCAGGGCAGAGTCCCATAGCTCAGTAATTAGTTCTCCTGAGAGTTGGGGAGATGGTCTCTTGAGGTCAATCTCTCACAGACATTCGTTAGGCTCCTGCTATGTGCTGGGCATTATGCTAGGTACAAGGTACAAAAGCAAGAATGAAATAGCACCTGCCCTCAAGGAACATATCCTATTGGGGGAGATAGCATGTACACATAAAAGAATATACAAAATAAATACAAGGTGATTTTGGGGGGAAAAACACAAGTAGCCTAAGGGAATCAGGAAAGACCTTGTATAGGAGGTGGTAGCATTTGAGCTGAGCTTTAAAGGGAAATAGAGATTCTAAGAGATAGAATTTTGAATAGAGAATCCTTTCCAGACATGAGGTACAGCCTTTGCAGAGGCATAGAGGCATGAGATAGAATGTCATGTGTAATTAAAATCAAGAAGGCTAGTTTGGTGGAATCCACTTTGTGAAGGGTTGGTGTTGTGGTTGTTGAGTTGTTTTCAGTCATGTTTGATTCTTCCTGACTCCATTTGAGATTTTCTTGACAAATATAATGGAGTGGTTTGCCATTTTCCTTTTTTAGCTCATTTACAGATGAAGAAACTGAGGCAAATGAGGTTAAGTGACTTGCACAAGGTCTCACCACAAGTAGATGTCTGAGGCCCGATTTGAATTCGGGAAGATGAGTCTTCCTGACTCCAGACCTAACATTCTATCCACTGTGCTACCCAGCTGCCCCTTGTGAAGATGTGCAATCAGCTTAAAAAGGAACAGTAACTGGAGTCAGGTTGTGAAGGACTTTGTGAAGGACCAAGGAGTTTGAATGTCATCCTAGAAACAATAGGGATCCCCTGGAACTTCCAGAACAGGGAAGTAGTATGTTCAGACCTTTATATTTTGGAACTTTATAAAGAATGGTTTAGAGGCAAGCTAAAGAGATGAGGCAGGGAGACCAATTTGAAAGCTATTGGAATTGACCAGGCCTGCAGCAGTAGTGGCAATGTGAGTAGAGGGAAGGGAACAGATAGGAGAGATGGTAGAATCAACAAGACTTGACTACCTATTGTATATATGGAGTGAGGGAGAGTGATGAGTTGGTACACCCTAGAATTGGAAACCTGGGTGACAGGAAGGAATGTGATGCCCTTAAATAGAAGGAGAATGGATTTTAGTGAGTTTCATTATCATAATCAGTGATGCAAGATTGGAGTTCAGATAAGAGACCGGTGCTGGGTATATAATCTGAAATTTGCCTTCATAGAGATGATAATTGAACCCATGGGAGCCTATGAGATTAACTGTAAAGAGAACAAAGAGAGAGAGTAGAAAGGAGGGCCCAAAGTTGAACCTTGGGGTACAAACTTCAGCCTCTCCTGAATATTTTTTCTAATGCCTCTGCTGAAATTTTCAGTGGTAGAGTATTAGAAATATTGTGTGACTTTTCATGGTTTTTTCCCATAAAACTGAACTGTGCTGCCAGTATACTAGGCTCTCTACATATATGTGGCAGTTTTTCACTGAAAATTAGATCAATAAGGTAGCTAGATGGTTCAGCAGATAGAGTGCTGGGACTGTAGTGAGGAAGTCCTAAGTTCAAATTCAGCCTCAGACACTTTTGTTGGTGTTGTTCAGTTGTGTCTGACACTCTTTGTAACCCTGTATAGGATTTTCTTGGCAAAGATATTGGAGTGGTTTGCCATTTCCTTCTCCAGTGGATTAAGACAGAGGTTAAATGACTCACCCAGGGTCACAGAGCTAGAAATATAAACAAATAATAAAAGACTATATTGAGTGCCAAAGAGAGGACTAGGGAAAGTGATATGAGAAATATAAGAAGATAGCAATTATTTACCCAGGGCAGGGATTCTTAATGTGTGTGTGTGTGTGTGTGTGTGTGTGTGTGTGTGTGTGTATTGTGGACCCTTTAGCAGTTTAATGAAATCTATGGACTCTTCAAAATGTAAAATACATGTGCTGTCAAAAGAAACCAATTATATTGAAATAACACTGTTTTTCTCCACCCAAGTTCATAGATCCCCTGAGATCTATCCACAGATGCCTTTGGGCTCCATGGACCTCATGTTAAAAAAAAAACACTGACCTAGAGGAATTGAGGAAATCTTAATTGAAAAGATGGTACTTGAGTTAAGTCTTTAAGGAAGAAAGGGTCTTCAGCAGAAGGAGGTGAAATTGAGTCCCTTCCTTATACATGTAGAGGATAGCATGCACAAAGATGAAAAAAAATGGGGGCAAAGGGAATCCTAGTTTGGCTAGAACATAGAGCACATGAAAGGGAATAGTTTTAGAAAGTGGTAAGGTAGTAGTCCTTGAATGCCAAAATTAGTCATTTATACTTTATTTGATAGACAGTATAAAACTGCTGAAGGTTTTTGAATAGAGAAGTGACATGATCACAGCAGTGTGTCCTGAAATTTACTTGGGAAGTAGTGTGAAAGATGAATTGAGAGGGAGTAGGCAAGAGAGATGTCTAGCATGGGATTATATGGGAGAAGAGTGACTATGCTTTGAGCTGTAGTTAGGAGAAAAGAGGAGGTAAATCGGTTCAAATGAGTGGACTTTGTGGCATATCACTGAATTCAAGTTTACATTTCTTCAGAGAACTCAGATAAGTATAAGCTAGATCTGAAGACATCATACCACCCTCAAACACAGCCTCCAACCTACCCCACACTCCCCCAAAAAACCTTGGGGAAGAAGAGGAAGGACTAGAGGAATTCCAAAATTAGGGCTAATAGGCCCAAAAGCAATAGCTAAAATCCAGGGCCCTACCAGTAATAGGACTATCAGAATTTATTTCAGGTAGATTATGCTACCAACCCTTACTACTGTGAAAAACTGTAAAATTACAGGATTTAGAGTTGAAAGACTCCTTAGAGATCATTTAGTTTAAGCCCCTCTATTTTAGCCTCCTCATGTAGTAACTCCATAATCTGAGAAAAGGAGCTGCTATGTCAGTGGATGTTAGCAGTCTTTTCTGTTCTTCATCTCTGCATTAGCCACTAAGTTTATTTCTCATATTAATTGAAGTAATGTGTCTTTATATTAATTGGGATTCTGATTTTTCAAGTGCTTCAGCAGTACCATTTTTTCCAAGTGTGTTGCTAACCTTAAAAGTAATAAAATGATTACCACTTTCTTTTACTCCGACCCATCCACAGTATCTTATGTCTTAAAAGTCAGTGGTTGTGTAAACACCCTGCGCCTGAGTTCTGTTCTTTGTAGGTTTTATACCATTATCTATTTTCACCATGATTTTAGTGTCAAAACAGCAGATTTGAAACAAAAATCTTTTTACCATTAATTGTTGTATTATTTACTCTGTTAAAAGATTTGTTCCAATATTAGCATTACAGGATGTTGAGTGACGGAGGTAAAGTTTTTCTGCCATAGTTGCATAATTTTCACTGCCGGAATTATGCACAGTTGTATGTTGGGAAAAGAGGGTTATTATTACCATCTTCATGTTTGAAGTCCTTGTAGCATGTGGAAATCTTTTCCCCATCTCTTTTTTGTTATCATCTTTTATATCCATATTTTAATTCAAATGAGAAAAAATATTTTATATTCAGATCATACAGCCTGACTACCTAAATAAATTTTTATCAGTAGAGCTTGCTTATTTCATTTTCAGTGGAATATTTCATCTGAATGTCTATTCACCACCCTCCAAAAACCCTGTCTTTTCATTGTTGTTGATTGTTTTTCACTCACAGCAGTGTAATTTCTTTATCTTTAAGGAGTAGTAGACAAATTGTGAGGTATATGGATAATTATTATTGAATACTTGTATTGTGTTTTCTGTCATGGTGTTTTTGAAGTCATGACTATGTAATTTTCTTTAAATGATAACATAATAATTCTTTTTTAATGATTAAACAAATTTAGTAAATTCAAGATGGAGGCGCTTTCCTACTGATTATGCTTCCACCTCAGAAGATGAATTTGGATCAAACCGTAATTCCCCTAAACATACCCGTCTGCGTACTTCTCCAGCCCTGAAAACCCCTCGAGTGCCGAGCACTGGCGCAGCCACGCACACTAGCTCATCATTCAAGCATCGAATAAAAGAACAGGAAGACTACATTCGAGATTGGACTGCTCACCGAGAAGAAATTGCCAGGTTGGTTTTAATGAAACAAAAGTTAAAATTTTTAAATACATCTTTATAACTTCAAACAAATGACAGGAACGTTGTGATATATGGTAATTACAGAAAGAATTTGCATTCACCAGAGAACTTAGTTTTCTTAATAATTTTATTTCCCATCCAAGCTTTTTTTTAACTGGGGCTGTTAATAAATGACTGAAATTAATTAATATGAGTTTCCAACCATTTCTGATTTGTTTGTTCCAATGGTGGTCAGTGAAATGTCAAAAAAAAAACATTGGGGAGCATGAGGAAGAATAATAAAAATTATATACTTAAATCAGTGACTACTTTAACTTACGTAAGAAAGTATAACGGTAGCTATGCATTATCACTCTTTGTGGGATAATCCATTTTGAGCTTGATGCATTTTCAGAAATAATGGTAGGAATTCAGTATTCAGCATGTGTCCAATCTCTTATTTTCATTAACCTCATCAAAATATACTGATTTTGATCAGTAAAAAGTTTGATTAATTTATTATAAATTTCTAAAACATGTAAGTAAAGAGACTTGATGTTAACAGCATAACATTTTATAGTGTTTTCCAAGTATAATGTTTAATTCGTGGATTTTATGGTAGTTTAAATATTCAAGAAAGGAAACACTCAAGCAGAGTTGTAATAATGTGCATCAGTATTAAGTTTTACAAGGTGTTAAAGGTCTTAAATTTCTTAATAAAATATGTGACCTAAATACCTTAAGCTATGTTAAAATTTCTTTTCCTTTCACTTTTAAAGATTCTAGGTTCAAAGTTTTATTTCTTTTTGGAAATAACAGTACATTCATCCGTAGATTCCTGTGATGCAGGGAGAAGGACAAGGATCATTTAATACAGAACTTTAGAGTTGGTAATGACCTTAGAGGTTATCTGATAAGACCTCCTTCAGGTGCAGGAATACCCTCTGCAACATCCCTAACAAGATAATAGAAATCTGGTCTTTAATTTAGCTCTTCTAGTGATGGGAAACTTACCACATGAATACGTAGACCACGACATATTTGGGTAGGTTTAACTGCTAAAAATACCTTCCTTATGAGCCAAAATGTGCCTCCTTGTCCCTTCCGCCTGTTGGTCCTAGTTTCGCCCTTTAGGGTCACACAAATTAGTCTCCTCTCACTTCCCCACAAAAGCTCTTCAAATATGTGAGAATGTCCAAACCTTCAAAAGAAAGGTATTTTCCAGAGGAGAAAAGTAAGTGTGGATATGGAAAAAATATAACTAGCAAAATTCCTTAACAACGAATTCTGACAAATCATGGATTCATTCAATTCATTTCTGCCTTCCTCTGTGTTGCTGTTCAGTTTGAGGCTTTTCTGGTTGCTTAATTAATGTGAATTTGGCTAATTCACTCAGTATTTACATTTTTTTTTTGTAAATGCTGTGTGTGACTAAAATCATACCTTTTGGGTTTTGGTATAGAAGCTGTCCATTTGCAGATGGGTCAATGGATACTGCAAAAATAGCTTAAATCACATAAGGCCTTTGGAATAGTAGGAGTAAACCAAGGTCCAAGTGGAAAGTTTTGCTACTATCTTCTTCTATTAGTCAATCATCTTCCAAATAGCAGTAGTAATTAAGTATTCCCGTAACTATGTAGTGTTTAACTTTTACAGAGCACTTTCTTCACAGTGTCCCATATAAGGTGATGCAGAGTGCCAGCCTGGAGTCAGGAAGACCTAAGTTCAACTCAGGCCTCAGATACTTACTAGCTGTGTGACCCTGAACAAAATCACTTAACTCACTTGTCTGTGTGCCTGTTTCCTCATCTGCAAAATGAGCTGATAATAATAATACCTACCTCCCAGGGTTGTTGGAAGGATAAAATTAGTTAATATTTGTAAGGTGCTTTGAAAACCTTGAAGTGTTCTATATATTACTATTATCCTTTCAGAGCTAAGGAAACTGAGCTTCAGACAGACTACTTTTATATTGTACTACAGTTACAAAATACATTTATATAACCTGGATTGGGTTTATTTTGTATTTCCCAATGAATAGAATAATTTGCACATAGATGACTTATGAATGTATATTGAATTCTATATCTCATGTGATGCCCTGTGTACTTCAAAGAAATTAATTGAATTGGTCATGCCCAACTAACCTTATTTACTTTTTTGACAGAGTTTTTAGACTAATAGATCAGAGATATAATACTCTAGGGATAAAGGGACATAATTTTATAGTTTAGGGTTAGGTTTTAGAGTAGCCTCATCTAACTCCCTCATTTTATAGGTGAGGTCCAGAGAGAGAAAATGATTTGCCTAAGGTCACACAGGTGGAAGAACTAGGATTTATACTTGAATTCTCTAGCTGTGTAGTCAGCGCTAGTTATGGGCTGTATGATGGGCTAGTTAAGTAAATTCAGAACAACTTGAATAGTCAGACCCAAAGAGTAACTCTTAGAGGTGTTATCATGACAGGTCAGAAGTGGAATGCTCCAAGCATCTGTCTTTGTCCCTCTATGCTAGTTAACATTTTTATCAGTTACTTAGCTAAAGGCATAGATGTCATTCTTGCCCAGTTTGCAAAAGACACAAAACTAGGGGAGATACTTAAAGTATTAGGTGACAGTCAGATTATAAAAAGTTGTTGATCGTTCAGAACATTGGGCAAAAATCTAATAAGATGAATTTTTAATAGAGATAAATATAAAATATAAAATCTTATACTTGTTTTTAGACTTCAAATTCATAGGCACAAGATTTGAGAGATATAATTAGATAATTCTTTTCTGAAAAAGATCTGGAGGTTTTAGTAGTCTTAACAGTTGAACATTGGTCCAAAGGCAGGTTTTAAATATTTTTCTCTCTATGATCTTGGGCAGCACGGGGAGGCATAAGGTCCAAGATCTAGACTGTAATAGTGCTGTTGTTGTCCACCTTGGTCAAACTACAATGGACTATTGTGTTGTGTCCTGAGGTCCACATTTTAGGAAAACCATTGGTTAGCAGAAGAACATCCAAAGGAGAACAACTAGGATGGTGAAGGACCTGGATATTGTACCATATGAAATAAGAGCTACTTTTTAAGCTTTATTATATTAACCCATTTTTCATTTTTATGGAAAAGGCATCTCACAATTGTCCAGAAGTTGAGTCCTTTTTAATCCTTGTTATTTGATGTAATTTGTTTTCTTGGAAAACATCCCAGTGCTGGTATTGGGAAATGAAGAAAGGACATTGAAGGGTGGATAGAGCATTGGATTAAAATCAGGAAAACCTTATTTTAAATGTTGCCTCAGGTACTTACTAGTTGTATAGCCCTGGGGAAGTTAATCAACCTATTTGTGCCTTATTTTCCTCATCTGAAAAATGAAAAGTGTGACTTAGTGGCCTCTAAAGTTACTTTTTGCCATATATCTGTGATCCTTTGACCACATTTACCAAATGTAGCATGAGTCTGAAATAAAGCCATTTAACCTAATATATTAACTGTTGCTTTTTAAAATTATTTGCTGGTCAGTAGTATTAAAAATTTGATGACTGCAATATGTGTAGGTACTGAGGATATAAAATATATCAGTCATATTACTGGACAAAGAAAACAAAACCAAAAAACAGTAATAAGTCTTTTGACAGTGGTCCAAAAGAAGAATTATCTTTGTGTGATAATACAGTTGTCAATTACATAGAAAATGTGAAACAGCTTTACTCCTTCGGAGCGGGTACCACTGGCACTAGCAAAACTTACCAGGCTATGCATATTATATGCCCTTTGACAGGCAATAATAGCTAGAGGCAAGTCAGATGAGAGATTCAGTTGAGGGAAAAAATAATTAATCTTAGTGTCATGGAACTTCAGTACAGAATGGGTATCTGAGAGATCAGTGAGTATAGTATTATCATTTTACAACTGAGGAAATTAAGACCTAAATTGTTAGGGTTCACGTATGTGTTAGTGGTGAAACCAAAAGTAAAATAATTTATTACAAAAAATTACTATCCTTTCCCTTGAATTAATATATGGCATACAAGTGCATTATGTCTGTGGCATTTCCCTGATATAGTAACCTTTCCAAAAACAGGAAATGAAGTTGATCTGATAACAAATTCATCTTAGCTCTTGGCGGTTCACTACAACCTTTTCTAAATTTTCACAATCTATCTTTTTAAAAATATGTACTAGAATTTTTCAAGGAATCAAATCCAAGACCACCAAGGGATTTGTAAGAAGATATAAGCAAGTCCTTGCCCTCAAGGAGCTTATAATTAAGTGGAGAGACAAAGTTAGCATAAGAAACAATAATAAACAGTAAAATTGTATAGTACAGATTCAAAAATGCTGTAAGAAAGGATGGTGAGTCCTGGAATAGTCAGGGAAAGTTTTATAAAGGAGATGAGACTAAGCACTCAAATCTGCATAAGTTCTGGATAGATCAAAGTGGACCCAAAAAACCCAAACCTTATTCTAGTTTCAGAGAACATCATCCAAAGCAGGGAGGTAAAGTTGAGCTTGTAGATCAATAAGAAGATGGCAGTAACTAGAGGAGAAATTTTATCTTAGAAAGTTCATTCATATGAATAGTCAAATTATATAGATGACCTTAAGTCAGGGAGAAGTATTCAGTCTGGATACATTTATAAGAAAGCTGTCCAAAGCTTTTGAATGAGAGCATGGCCTGAGGAATATAGGTAAATTTGAGGTAAATTAGTGTGGAGTCAGAATTCTGTATGGATTGAAGGGAGGAAAAAGTAAACCTGGAGATATCAAGGAGAATATCATAGTAAAGAACTCTATGAGATAGGTGTATAAAATGCTGGAGTAGCTCTGTATCACTGTGAGAGAATCATTGAACTTCTTTGAGCTTAGTTTCCTATCTCTGTGAAATAGGGATAGCAGTAGTATCTGCTACTGTAGTATTGACCTTAGCATTGGTATGAGATTTAAATTAGAGAATGTTTAACTACTTTTCAAACCTGAAAACAAAGCTCTAAATGTGAGTTATTTTTCCTGGGCTTTAATTAAG